TAACTCGGCTCTGTAAAGTTTATTCGATTGAGCCTGTACACTTAAAGTAATTATTAAAAAAAATACAGCATAGTTCTGTCAAAACCTTAGCATTTTCATTGATCCATTGTAACGTGAAAGCCAGGAAATCATCAACCGATGATGCCTACGGTTTATAATTCGTCATTGATGGCTTTCCAATTGGATCTCGAAAATGTTTGAACGTTAGAGGAGGAGGGTCAGCCGAAGGGGCGGAATGAAATTTATCTAATTGACAGAAATTTAACCTGCCTCCAGGTAAAGCCTAGCATAAAGTTCATAGTAGGGTTGAATGACCGGTTTTACCGGTATTAACATGCTGTTTTACAATACCGAAATACCGGTTTTTGTACAATAAAAAACCGGTATTTTTGGATTTTTCAAGCATTTTTCATTGTTTTTTACATGTTTAGCATAGCGACAATGACAAATGACTTTGGAGTATTTTTTCAAGACACCGCGGACTAAAGCATTCACTTGAAAATCTACGTCGTTTGATTGATTTGTAAGACAACGGAATAAATGCAGAAGCCGAGCGAAGATAGGAACTTAATCGACTGGATGATACAGTTGATGTTCAGAACAAAGGTTTGACCGTGAAGGAAAAATTTGAAAGACGGTTATAGTCTAGACCAACAATTGAAATATGCGGAACAACCAAACGTAAACATTGGCTTTAAAAGTAAATTCCTCGAGAATCAAAGCACATCCAAGCAATCTAACACCATCATCTGATAGAGCAAACTTCCTTTATCGAATGGCATTGTTATTTGCGTGGGAGTGTTTTGATTATCGAGGAATTTGCGTTTAAAGCCATTGTTTACGTTTGGTTGTTCCGCCTATTTCAATTGTTGGTCTAGTAGTAGTCAAAGTTTGCAGCTTCCAGAACTAGCTCAGCGTCAACGTCAGCAAACAGTTTGACAAAAGGTATTGAACAAGAGTTTGCCTACTACGATGTTGAGGGTTTGAAAGGCAAATATATGAAAATAATTTACGATGCCCTTTGCACTGTACGTCCTAAATCAGTAGGCTAGTTATTTGTACCAAATTCAAAATTAATTGCATTTCATTTTAACCTAACAGTAACTTACTGCTTTTTTCCTGGTAGTGCAACAACTAGACCATATTGGCACAGCGTAAAGCATGGCCGGTCTTACAACTTGTTTAAATATTAGAAGTTTATTAGTGTGGCAAAATTTGGATTTCCTGTTTATAAGAGGATACAAACATTTTATATATATGTTACATTTGGCTTGAATGCCCTCAATGTGACCTTTAAAAGTTAATTTTTGGTCAAGTGCTAATCCAAGATATTTCACTTGGTTTGACCAGGAAATTGAAACTCCGTTCAAAGTGACTATGTGACTACTACTAGGTTTAAAAAGGAAGCTCTAGGCTTATGTGGAAATATTATCAATTGAGTTTTGGAAGCGTTGGGAGAAATCTTCCATTTTTGCAAGTAAGAAAACAAAATATCAAAACTTTTCTGCAGTCTGCTGCAAACAGTCACGAAGACTTTTTCCTTTAGCGGAAACGCATGTGTCATCAGCGAACAAAGATTTCTGGAAACCCTGAGGCAAATCAGGGAGGTCCGAAGTGAAAATGTTATACAAAATAGGCCCAAGAATGCTAGGAAATGCCTGAGGAACTTCTGCTCTAACAGTTAATCGTTCAGATTTGGAATTTTGATAATATACCTGCAAAGTTCTGTCAGTTAAATTATTTTGAACTAATTTCATAATATAGAGTGGAAAATTAAACTTTTTTTCAATTTAGCAATCAAACCTTCATGCCAAACACTGTCGAATGCTTTTTCTATGTCTAGAAGAGCAACTCCAGTTGAGCAGCCTTCAGATTTGTTTGAACGAACTAAATTGGTAACTCTTAAGAGTTGATGAGTAGTTAAATGCCCATGGCGAAATCCAAACTGCTCATCTGCAAAAATTGAGTTCGTATTGATGTTAAGCCGCATTCTATTTAAAATTATCTTTTCAAAAAGTTTACCACCAGATAACTGTCATGGCAGAATCGCGTTTTCTTTGATATTGTGTCCTACGGACATTTTTAAGACGGATCAAGAGCTGAAGATCGTCATCTCTTATAATTGAATCGAATTTAACCTCGCATTTTGGTACTGATTCAGCTCTTGTTTCAACTATAGAAGTAGTCAGACATTGAAGAGCATAATAAATTTCATCTTTGGTTTGCAAAGAAATGTTTGGATCAAAGCTATATTCGATAAATGTTCGATACTGCTCCCAATCAGCTCTATGGTAATTGAAAGTAGAGCTATTGGGATTGGAAATTATTTCTTGGGATTTTTCAAGATTTACTGGAAGGAGATCATAACGGAAAAAAATTCTATCAAGATTTTCAAATTTTCCGTTAGAATTAGTTAGCATAGGTAGCTTTTACTCGCTAAACATTGTTAGCAGCGAGGGGAGCAGGTATATGAAGAATTTCAAGCAGGGGTGATATTTGTACCTAAGCGTACAAATGTAGAATTTATTCCTCGCTGAGCGTTGTTAACAGCAGAGGAATTTGTACATGGTCCGAAACGTGGAGCATTTCCTACCTGTCGCTTAGAACAAAATTATGGGATCACTTTGCGAGTCAAAAATTGGATTTGTGGTTTTCACCACAATTTGAACACTTAAATTTCATAGGAAACTTCACAGGACAATCGTAATTTGCGTGAGAGGAATCACCACAATTCATGCATTTAGCTGGCTTGCAGCAATTTTTAGTTCCGTGACCCCATCCCTAGCACTTACGGCACTGAGTGAGGTTTTGGAAATTTCCTCCAGTCTTCCTGAAGTGTTCCCACTTCACTCAGACGTGGAGCATAAGGCTAGCTTTTTCCAAGGCCTTAAGGGTATTTAGTTAACTAGACTTGAAGTGAACTAAATAAAAATTATTAGAAATCCCGTTGCGCGAATCGCCAGGACGGGATTACTTGGAGTGGCACAAATCCAAGTAATTTTGCCAGTTCATATTTGATCTGATCCAGGGATTCACCACTGGGCAGTCCTTTGATGACAACCTTGAACACACATTAAGTTTTGGTGTCGTAATTAAAAAATGTATGCTGCTTCTCAGTAAGATACTGGAGAAAACGTTTGGTCCAAGGTTTCAGCAAATACTCAGCATTCACCCCGACGGGCAATTTGCAGTGAAAACTTAAATTTCACGAATTTCAAAAGTTCCGTGCGAAGAGCATGGAAATCGGAAGTGGTTACTACAATAGGGGGTATCTTTCCCTTCTTGACATTAAGCCGGGAAAGTATACTGGATTTTTTCCTGGATGATGAATCATTCTCATCATCCGTGAGCAAATAAAATTGATTGAAGAGGAATAAGAGTCAAACAAGGTGGAAAATGTACAGCACGGACAGATTTCTAATTGAATCGTTTACCAATAAACACTTTTTTCACTATAAAGTTTTTTTTTGTAGTTCCTCCTAAAACCGGTTTTACCTATAAATTAGATTTTTTAATACCGGAAAACCGGTTTAAGAAATAAGCCTTCGGTATTGCCAAACCGTTTCCCCTTTATTTTTTTTTTCGTCTATCTTGTTTTCCGTGCTGAGCACCGATGTTACCGACGCTAGGGAGGCAGCTCCCACACCTGGACCCTACCTATCGACTCATGAACCGGAGACCAACGGCCTTACTTCCCTCATGCCTCAGAACATCCCGGTGGCGCCGACTGGGATTGAACCCAGGCCTGCTGGGGTGAGATTTAATCACGCTTACCACTAAACCACCGGCGCCGCTTGCCAAACCCTAGTTCAAAGCGAAGTGAAAAATTATGAAATTTCGCTAGAGAAACAGTTTGTGAAAAATTGTTGTGAAACATAGGGCTCCAATAGTTGCGGTATGTTAGAAGCGTTAGGTTCCTATAGTTGTGCATGGAGACTCAATACACAGATATAGGAACCTAACGCTTCTAACGTACTGCAACTATAGTAGAATCCAAGTGAAATTTATGCGTCACTAGTGGCGGGAAATAGTACTAGTCGATGGTGATAAATTTATGGCAGCCGGTTTAAATTCCAGAGTTTGAGTGATAAATTATTGAAAAAAGAGTTCAAAATAGTGAGATACGAGCATGACTATGGATGATACATGTATGAAAGTTGTCGAATAATGTAATGTTTTGTTAATTTTCATTGCAATGTCATTGAAAGATAATGAAAATGCGTTTTTTGATGCACCGATATTATTTAGGTTATGTTTTGTATGATTGAAATCGACGTCCAAGTCAGTCTGCTGGATATACTGGATGATGTTGGGGACTCTGTGCTAGCGGATTTAGAGACCTAGCATATTGTGTGCCTGGGCTACACCAGTAGATCAGCAGCAAAGCAAGAATTGAGGGGAATGGATTTGTTCTGCAAAGTTCCCATCTCGGGGAGCGGCCACATGAAATTAATCTCAAATTACATACCCCCCGACAACAAACTTTGGAACTTATATTCTTCTGATCCGTAAACAGTGGCAACCTTTCTCCACTGCACGAATTTGTTGCTCCCCGAATTGCTCGAAAAAGTTGAAATTTGTTCTCGTTGCATCCCGGGATAATGCAACGATCCTGCAACAACAATGAGAATGTTAAGCGGTGCAGCTTGTGTTTACACTGTCTAAAAATTCAACTATTTTCCTGATTGCAAGCAGTGATATCATTGTAGTCATTTGTCACTTTGAAGAAGGACACTTTTTCTACAATTCTACAAGCTTTTTGACCACCAAGAACGTACCAAGACAAGACAAATTTTCAATTTAAAAAGTGAAAATTCTGATGTGAGTCACGTTTGACAGATGTTTACATTTTTATCACCGCTACGACAACAGCGCTACGGGTGGCCGGTAATTGGTTGAATTTTACTATAAGAGCGTTTACCCTATTCCAATTTCTTCTTTTCGCAGTTCACAGTTCACGTGAAACGACATCGCCTACCTGCTGTCAGTTAATAACTTACCAGTCTGTAAAGACGCAGGTGCTGCATTATTGCTTTTAAATGATATGGATAGGATGACTGTCAGAATGAGTACAACTGGCGTCCTTATCGTTCGAGCCATCTGAAAGACATAGAAAACACGATATTTGTTTAATAACTAGTCAAGCATACGTCATATATGTTGAAGTGGTATTTGCGCTAGGATCAATGCAATTATTTGAAGATAATTTTTTGAGACTATTTTCCTCAATAATTATCAAAAAATCGACAGTGATTTAAAAGCAATAGTTTATAAATGAAAAATTAGCGGTTTTTATACATCATCTGAAAGAGCTTCGTTTTCTGAGCACAGCGATATTTTTATCGAGCACATAGACTTCCATGCCGGTTTTTAATTCAAGATTCAAAACAAAATAATACCTTCACTAATTTGTGCGATAACATTAGCAAAAATTACTATCTTAACGCCCCTTGAGGTTACTTTGAATGGGAGCGAGCTGTCAATTTGTTAGTTTTTTTTTTTTTCCTTTGGTTTGTTTTTTCCGTCGATCTTGTTTTCCGTGCTGAGCACCAATGCTACCGACGTGCCAGAAGGCAGCTCCCACACACCTGGACCCTACCTATCGACCCATCAACTCATGAACCGGGGACCAACGGCTTTACTTCCCATCCGAAGGAAGGCGTGATCAGAAATGTTATGCCTCAGAACATCCCGGCGGCGCCGACTGGGATTGAACCCAGGCCTGCTGGGGCGAGAGGTAATCACGCTTACCACTACACCACCGGCGCCGTTTGTTAGTTTTGTGTCGATGTGATATTTTGCTTTATATCTTGAATTAAAAATCAAGATGGAAGTCTACACGGTAAGAAAAAAGTACCCAACTTTTACCTTCTTTTGACTAGTTTGTCTCCTTTTCTCCTTCTAATGTTGTCAAAGAAGTAAAGTGTGGGAACCCAACGTTGAGTATAATCATATTTACCTACACAGCAAAAAATAAATTTTAATATTACATCCAAGAGGATGCACTACAATCATGTCGAAAATCTCATGTAATTTTTATGGCCACAAAAATAAACAAATGCAGTAAAAGCAACGTAATGTCAGTTTATGCACTGTATTAATGCTAATTTTGTCCTTTTTGGCAGGTAATATTACACAATATTTTCGACACGATTGAAGTGCATCTACTTTGATGTGATATCAAAATTAATTTTTTGCTGTGTACTGTTGGGTACAACTAACGTATTTTTGGTTAAAAAGCCAGTGGAAAATTCCATACGAACTGCACACAAGGTAATGAAAATTACTTTGACCCGCTTTACCTACTTTTGGGTTCCTGCACTATAGTGCCGAGATGAGTGAAAAGAACTTAATTTTGGGTACTTTTTTCTAACTCATATATGAGAACAAAAAAAGTCGTTGTGCTCAAAATACGAACCCTTTTCAGATGATTTAAAGTAATTGATACATTTTTGAAAATTAAATAACCCATTTCACCAACTAAAACATTATTAAGAAAAGATTGCATGTAAACATTAGAAATCCTCAGAGGAAGAGATGAGCGGAAATAATGTTTTTAGCCAAATCAACTGTCAACATCTAAGCCAATCGAACATTCCCATTAGGTTTTTAACCGAGGATTTCTTATTCTTACTAAATCATATTTCAGAGTATTGTTATCAAAACAGAAATTCAATCACCTTTATTTTGCGAGTACTTCTCAAATTCAACTAGTTTTTAGAATTAAAAATATGTAACCGTTCTGTTACAAAGGTCCAATACAATATTTAAATATGCACCATGTGATCGAGCATTCAAAGAAATTTGAGTAACACTTGCGGTGAAACCCACTGGGCAGACGATACGGCCATGCTTAACGGCAGACTGCTGAATAAGGCGCGCATGGCCGCGGCAAAATGGTGACACGGAGTCACGGGTGATGAGCTGAAGGGTTCTGCGATGCTTAGAGAACGGCCATCGTTCACTTTATCTCAGGCGAGCGTGTAGACCAGAAGTGTCTGTGGAATACTTTTAACAGAATACAGTGCGAGTAGTAAATCAAGGTGAAGTGTAAATCACCAATTCAGCTGATTCAGGTAAAGTCGAAGTCATCCTCTAAATTGGTCCAAGGCACTAATGGATGTTACCTCCTCGCTAGGACCTTTCTTTTCAACCAATCAAATGGTTTTCTGGTTGGCGAGTCAAGGACCACCATTGCACGCTACGGTCTAGGTGACATTTAGTTACCTTGACCTAACCGTAAAGGACATCGTTCTCGGGCTGAAGGCCCTAAACACCAAGGAGAATTTCCCTTCCCGGTTCGACAGAGGGCGGCCTTGCCGTCGTCGACCGGCTTCGTCAGAAGGAAGCGCCTGTGCATCGGAACCATGTCCACAAACCGCTATACCAGCCCGGTAAAACCAACCCGCCATCGCACTACGGCCGACGTTCGGTCAGCCTCGCTTTGTCCGCCATTGTCGGAATTGTACCGGAATTTCACCGAGCGGTGGTACCGCCATCTTGCCGACAAGGTCGGCCTTTAAGGATCTTTCCGGAACCGCAGCGAGCGCTCGCTGGTCTGCAGTCGTCGTAGTCGCCATCGTCATGAAGGGTATGTGCCAAGAAAATCGAACACAACACCACACAATCCACACTATCGGTAATTGGAGAAATACAGTGTTTAAATTGATCCGCGTTGTGTTTCAGTTTAATTGAAAGCTTGAGTGCCTTTTCATCCGCGTAGCCCCTCCAGTTTGCCAAGTAGTGCGCCGACTCTGAGACACAGTTCAAGAAGTCTCGTGCTGCTGAGTTGTTGTCGGGCAGAACATTAGGTTCAAATAACATTCTAACTCTATTGATTAACTTCTGTTGGTAAATAAATGGCTTCAAGAAATGTGCAAAATATTGCGATGCACTCAATTATTATTTTTCACGTATGTAGATCGAATCGAACAGAAAAGTCATGTGCTGCCGAATTGTATTATGTTTTCTTCACCCATCTCTCTCTTTGAGTGTTTCTAGTAAATGTTTTATCTTCCTCGATTTTTTTCTTTCACTCATTAAGTCCGCAAAAAAATGCTTTCTTTCGAAATTTATGTATTAAGCGGCGCCGGTGGTGTAGTGGAACGCGTTATTGCCGGCGCCACCGGGATTTTCTGAGGCATAAAATCTCTAAGCCTTCCTTCGGAATTCCTTCGCATGGCAAGGAAAGCCGTTGGTCCCCGGTCCATGAGTCGATGGTGTCGGTAGCATTGGTAATTAGTATGGAAAACAAGATCAACGGAAAACAAATGAAGGACAAAAAAATATATATGGGTCCAATATTAGGGACACTTAGGCTGACATTAGGGACATTAACCCTATCAAATACATTTTAAAATTCAGAGGCTTGAAGTGCTCTTTTTTCAGGATGGATATTTTTATACTTGAAGCATTTTTTTTTTTAAATTGTGGTCTTAAACATAATTATACTTTAAGAAATTTTCATGAACCTGGAACGAAGATAAATATTCATGATATTGGACATTGAACATTTAACAAGATCACAGATTTGAACAAAAAAATCAGCAAAATTTCCAAGGCTCATGAAATTTTATTCAAATTTCTAAGGAACTCATTACAAGGGAGTTATGCTTTCATGCGAAACCTAACGAAAAATCCAAGGTAGTACTGAGTAGAATTCAATGGAAATTATGAATAGGATTCAATGAAAACTTTAATAAAATTCAACATTTTATTTTTGTAAGCCGTACGTGGTGGTGTATTTTTAGTAAGTATAAGGCTTCTATGTAATTTTGTATCTTTTTTACATATCCATAGAAGCCTGTTCCTATGGCAATACAGCAACACCTTGTTCTAGAATCTAGAGGACTGGTATGGGATAGACAGGGAAAGATTGCCACCCTTCGGTTGACATGATTTTTATTTGTAGGGGAAAGTGGGCAAGATGGCCACCCTAACCAAACTCGAATAAAATTCCACAATTTTAACCAGAAAATAATTCTTTCTATAATCCTTCGGAAGCTTCAAGATTTGACCTATATTCCTGTGCTCGAAGATCAATCATGCGAACTAGTTTAAATTCGATAAATAACAGTTCAAAGCTTTGAACAAGGCACGGTACACAAATAACGTAACGCAAAAATCCGGATTTTTCAAACATTATCTCTCCTCTCCCCTATGAGTATGAGCATGATTGACCACCCACGGTTGCTATTCTGTTATTTCCAGATCAGCTGTAATTGCACAGAGAAGCAATAGACGATGCACAGAAAAAAAAATGTAATATCGATCAATGTTATTCAAGCTGATGTATAGCAAAAAGCAGATACAATATTACATCAATAGATGTAATATTTTTCGCAAAATCGATGTACATCGTACAACGTTATATTACACAACCGATGGATTGACCTGGTTGCAGCAGTTTGGATGTAATATTCAACAACTTTTTTTCTGTGTGCTTGGGACTAGCAATCATCCTCAATATGTAAAAACTGGTGATCTAAATCTAAGCAAAACCAGCACCGGCCGCGTCCGAACACAGGTCGAGAAAGGAATGGGTAGGAATGTGTTGACGTGACACTCGCTTTGTGGAAAGTCGAGACCACCTCTGGACTTCGACGAGGAATCACTAGGATATTGGGTAAGAGGGTTGGGATTACAGCAGGTTTCGTTTTGGTAAACTATAAGCTGAATTGACGTCCTAACGATCATATAACGCGAACGAGCTTGAGATTGAACCCACAATATTCTGCTTAGTAAGCAAAAACGTTTGTCATTAGGCAAACGAGCTTCTTTTATTACAACACACCAATGATCTATTTGTTGTTTTTCCAATGTATTCACATTAACAAATAGAATCGACGATGTGGACGAATCTTAATTACGAATCTTGAATGTGGAGGGACGTGAGATTAAACTCATGATGTTCTACTCAGTAAGCAAAATTGGTCGCTCTAAGGCCACCAAGCCCTTCATATCACATTTTACAAACTACGATCGGGCTGTTCAACCATTCAAAACCGGCCCCTAAGGTGACGTTCATAACAATGATAAGTTTCACAAAACACACGATAATCAAGCAATGTTACTATAAGCCTTCTTAATATGATAGGACC